TGCTAGTCTGGAAATCCAGATATCCCAGGGGCATGTTGTATGGCTGCATGGGCGGGGATCGAATAGACAGGTCGGATATTAAATCAGCGGGATGTGGAATGACTTTTTGCCACTACTCCGAGCTTGCTAAATAGTTTTGCCCTCTAAGGGAGGGAGTCACTGACCATTTAGACAGAAGTAGCCCTATTAACTTTTGTAGATGTACACCAGTGTAAGCGGTCAACGAATCCATCTCTTATTTCTTATACCTATGGCACAAAAGGGAGGTACATTTGCATATATAGTGCCTAGATATGTCCTGGAATATTGCCTGACTGGGACATTACAGATTGCAGCATTATTACTATGGAGCAATTCCTTAAGCAGATTGTAATGTCAAAAAAGAAATTGCTTATGAAAGAAGTTACTTGCCTAAAGTTAATGTCCATATTAAAATTAATCATACATGATTATGCTTTTAAACATAGTTTCCAATAATATCACATACTATATCTGGTATCAGTTTCTTTTAAAGCTCCGTGTAAGTGATATATTTGTTTTTAAAAGAAATGCCATTGTTTGTGACTACTGTAAAAAGAACTAAAATAAAACCCTGGAGCCAAACCTTCTTTTCAGAAGCACTGAATAGTTAACTCTTGTGTCTACTCAGAAGTAAGTCTCACTGAGTTCAGCGCAGCCCCTCCCAAGTAGATTTGTATAGGATTGCTACATTTTATAGCTAAGTGCCTAAAGGTAATTTAGTAGGAATTAATTTCTGTTATAATAAATCCAACTGACTTTTAAGTAAATCTGTTAAGCATTGGGTTACATGTGTTACCAGGTCTCATTCATCTCTCTACTGGAATTTATGATCCTATTACTTCGAATTTAATATCTAGTATTAGAAATCCTAGAAATTCTGTACCTAGATGTATTCAATGTATGTAAATAGGGATACTTTAAAATCTTAAATTGTATTACATGTACATGACTACCCTACAACATGAAGGACCCTAAATCAGATAAAATGAAATTGCAGGAATTATTACAGTGTATTCATTGTAGTCACTTGCTCTGTGCCCCATCTTTCTACCAGAAAAGATTTCACTCAAGCTGGCTATTCTGCCTCCTTGGTTTCTGTAGGTCTAAAGTTGGATTAATAGAAACACTTTGTCTTAACAGGGTTGTAGATGAAGCACATTAAAAACAGTATGCATTCATAGGATCTAAAAACACATCCTTTTACAGAGTTAATATAGTTTTACATGTGACCATTGGCAACTGTCATGACAAGTGTAATGATTTAGTCAAAGAAGATAGAAGGCTCTTTAAACAATGCGATATTACTAGGTGTAGAAAGAGATGGAAATAGATTTGTGATTTTGTGCTTTGCCTTCAATTGCCTCCTAGTCGTTTTACAGGGACTGAACTTTCTGAACAAAAGAGTACATGCCCTCTCCCTTATCCAATACCTGGGCCTGGTTTCCTTTAGTCTGTGCTTTAGTATTGAAAAGCTGTTTCTTTGCACCAGATAGCAGTAGAACTGACTTTTCCATTCAGTAGACCTAGCTGCCTCAAAACATTTCCTGCTTCTCCTCTTGGTACTGCTCATATCCTGGGGTGATATGGCTGACTAGAGCCCCCATCCTATCTGCAAACATGTAACAATTACGGCAACATCTTGTCTCTGTGACTAGTCTCTGAGGATGTAGTCCTCTGTGCACATTTTTTGCGAATAAGACCCTCCAAACAGAGGGAACTTCTGAGCAAGTGATCTTCCTTGTGATTGGACTGCAGACTCTATCTCAAGTTACCTCATACCAAATCTGTGTTTCAGTTATTTCAGTTAGCGTGTTGAGTCCCACGGTAGTGTAGCACCCTTGACTTGGTATGTAGTTTGAGTTTGTTTTTGGTTTCAACCTAGAATGCACTTCAGCAGGCACTGATTCATGTGAAATAGTGGACAATCTTTCCTGCAATGCCCCGATGTTTTCCGGCAAAAATATCTCAGATTGTTCAGCCCTTTCAAAACCTAGTTTCACAAAATTCCTAGTTTCTAAATTCATAATTTTGATCCAAATCTATTAAAATAATTAAATGTTAAACATCAGATTGTATTCAGTTTTTACTGAGCATTATAAATATACATGTGATATCTGGATATGCGAAATATATTTTAAATGTTAACTAATGGAATAATTATAGAATATCATATGTATTTAACATTTTGCTACATTAACCAAGGCTTTTGCTCCCTTACAATAGAAATAAGATCTGGTTTGATATAGGGTACTTATGACTTCCTTTGAAGTCTCTACAGGATACTTAGCTGAGATATTTGCAGATAACATCTTTATTTCACTGAAGGAAGAGAAAATGCCACTGATTTCAGCATTTTCACTAGATATGAAATGCAGATCGGATATTATTGTCATTATTCATGGATTCGTATTTGAGTTTATATAACTAGGTTTTTCAAGCAAACTTTTATAGGAGTGGCATCCTATGCATATCTACTCAAATGTACTAAGAAAATGAGACTTACTCCCAAGTAAGTGAATATAGGTTTACACTTTCAGATACCTAGATACTGAAATGCCTGTTTTGTGGGAAAAGAATTCTGTTGTCATAGTAGAAAAAATATTGTACATATGTTACAAACATATGATATAATAGTAACCTTAAACACCCAATTTCTCATATTAAAGTTCCCTAGCCCTTCCTCATGTATATATGAATCATTTAAAGTTTCTTAATTATTCAACAAATTGATTAACCGTCTGGTAGCAAAATTGTTCTTCTTTTAAATTGACGTTCACAACTCTTTTACACCTATATACAATTCTCCTGGGACTCAGGAATGTACTTTAAGGATTGCATATCACTCCAGTACAAGGTTAGATGCACGCATTGTATGTTTCATAATAAATTTGGGTTTTTTTATTTAATGCAGTCTTCAAGGATTTAAACACACAATATGCAGTGAAAATGTCCACAATTTTGAGACCACAGTTGTAAATAGAAACATTCATATTTCATAAGATTATAAATATTTGATACTGCAAATTGTAAAATGCATGTTTCATAAACTGAAAAAACACACACCTTTGCTTTCGTGCTAAAAGGCAATGTCATGGACTCCTGTCTCCTAAGCAGCTGATGGTTATTCACAGAATTTAAAGTTACAGCAGCAATTTTTGACTTGTGTTTCTTTCTTTTCACCCCCAAATTGATACTACTTTATACAACGTGTGTCTACCATAATTGTGAAATAAAGAAGGTTTTTTAAGGCAAAGTGAGAAATTCACCCTCCATAATTAAGACGACGACAGTCCAGCATCATGGGGCACAGCATCCCTCTGCACAGAGGCCCGTCTGCCTCTCACCAACATCTTGGGCAGTCTCTTCCCCCAAAGCTGGGTGTGGGTGGGGGATGGAGGTGTGAGATATAGTTCTAAATAAAATACAATACTTAGCTTCACTATATCTCACATTAGAATCAAAACATTCTATATATAGAAAGTAGGACAAGGAAAGAGGGTTGGTAAGTAAAACAGACATTGTAATACCTTTTAATGGATCCCTCACCATTCTTCATTAGGTATCTACTTAAAATCTCTCGCATTTTCCAGAATGAAAGGCAACGCTGACAAACGGGGGGGGGGGGTAGTGATTATTTCCCCTCGCCATAAGAACCCGCCGTTTCTAACCGAAAGACTTCGCAGGCTGCCCTCCCGCTTCCTTTCATATCCTCTTGCATAATGGAAGCCAGTGGAACCGAAACGGTTCCTTCTCGACCGACCCCCTTTCCCTGCGCTCCTGAATGTGCCCTTCCTGGTGCTGGTGGTGCAGACCCCCTTTCCTCCGAATTCCTGGCAGGCGTAAGAAGCCCCCCACAACTGCTGCGGGGGCCTGAAGAACTGGTCCGCAGCAGAGCAGAGCAAAAATGTCAGGCCACACTGCTTCCGGAACGCCACTTGAAAAGGCAGCCGCGAGCCCGGGGCAAAGGCAAGTGCCGTCTGGGGCGAGCTGGCGGGCCGCGGCAGCGAGGCAAGCTCCGAGGTGCGTTGGCGGGGTGCTGAGCAAGCTACAAGCGAGCGCCCGAGCCCCCTTTGCGCTTCTCAGAATATGGTTCCGGAAGTTGCGGTCTCGTCCCGCAAACTTTTCCCATCGCCCTGCTCGGGAGGCGGAAAGCAGAACGACCGCATTAGCACGTCCTTGGAGTCTGCCCCTGTCTGCTCACCAACCTCCTCTGAGCTGCTCCAAAAACTGCCCTTGCCCCCTTTCCCTGAATTCCAGTGTAACAGAGAAGCATGAGGGCAAAGCAGGAGACGTTCCAAAGCTCCGTGGCTGCCTCGGGACGTCTTTCCCCTCATTTCTTAATGTGCATTTCCAGAGGGGTGGCAGGTTTATATAGTCTGGCTGTAATTTTTATTATGAGTATTAAGGTTATTTTTTACCCACCCCAAAGGTAAACACAAGAGGAATGAAGAAAAGGAAATAAAAAGAAACGTTAAAACTCATAGAACAAATAGGAGAACTATTTATTCGGTTCACAGTCTCATGAAATGCAGCAATAAAAATCTTTGGACTTCAGCAAAAGTTGTCTTTAATATTTTGAATTTCAAAAACAGTGTCCAATGTCCATTTAAAACAGTGCTTAAGTCTATAAAAAGGTAACTTAAGCTTTTAAAAAAATTGATAAAGTTAGCATCTAAAATTTTCATAGAACAAAAAACAAAAAACAAAAAATATTTTATAATCAGATATTCTGGATTTTTTACAACACCTTACCTGTAAATTATATATATATATATATGTATATATATGTATATATATATATACACAGAGAGAGAATATTGCAGAATTATATCTAATACACAATATATTCCCACTATTTATGCTGGTATAGTCTTTATACACTGGCCCTTTTTAATTAAATTATTGCATTGTACCAATTCTGCCTGCCCCCTTCTCCTCTCCTCTCCTCGCCTCTCCGCTGCCCCCGCCCCGCCCCAGCTCTACTCGCTGTCGGACTTGCCGTCTTTCGAGGCCGTGGAGTGGTTGTACAGTCCTTGCGCCATGAGGTGCACCGCCAGGGAGTTCTTGTTGCCGGTGGCCTTCTTGATTTTGGCCCGCTTGTTCTGAAACCAGATCTTGATCTGAGACTCGTTGAGGCTGAGCTCCTGCGCCAGGCTCTGCCGCCTCTGCTCCGTCAAGTATCTGTTCGTCTGGAACTCGGCCTTGAGTCTCTGCAGCTGCTCTGCGGTGAAGGCGGTGCGGGGCCGCTTGTCCTCCTTGTTGGGGTTCTTCTTCTTTGGTTTCCGGGATCGGGGGCCTGCGGGCCGTGGCGAGAGAGGAGACAGAGCGAGAGAGGGTGAGCGCGGCGTGGGGAGGCCGGGGCGCCCGGCTCGGCCCGGGCAGGGCAGCGCAGGGCAGGGCAGGGGCGGGCAGCGCCGCGCCGCGCCGCGGAAGCGGGCCTCGGGCCTCCGGGCGGCGTGCCCGTGGCTCTCGCGCGTGCTACCCGCCGCCGCCGGCTCTCCCGGACGCAACGAAGGGCCGGGGCCAGCGCTGCTCCCGCGCGCCAGGAGGCCGGGTGCT